TTGATTTACGTCTAGGACGACTGAAGTCTACTATGATAACGATTTAAATATGTGTTAGACAAACTGAGTAGGCTAATTCTTCTATCGTCCAGTTTTTGTGCCGAAAATTAGTGACAAGCCTAATATGTCACTCTAACCAGACAACCTGTGGCCGTAGATAGGCTCACTGAGGTTTACACAGATTCATCGAGATTCAAAATCACATGAGAGTATTCCTGACAGATCTGTTATATGCTTGGTGTGACTGAATGAAAATATTAAAAGCTTCCTGACGGAACCATTTGAAACCCACATGTATGTTTGCCAACGTTGTCTGAATGAGCCTTTTGCTGACGAGGTAAAAGCCAAAATAGAGGGGGCTTTCTAGTTTAGGGGCCCTTGAATCTCACATCTTTCATGTTCTGAGCAGCCTTCAAGTAGGATGCTCAGTTACAATTTATTTTTGCATTAAGCTATGTTTTGTCCGGATATCCAGGTCTCTGACCGAATAAATCAGGAATCTCGTTTCAAAAAGGGCAGTGCTTTTTGTACTTGTTGTGATTATTCTTGCTTTGGGTACTTATTGCACCAAAAAGCATTCTTGGTCTACTTTAACTAAAAGTACTTTGGTTAAAGTTTGAATTTTTTGCTAAATTTTGTCCTAGGTACCTTTTTTCACTCCTAGACTAACACTTGTGTTCACATTGTGATCATTGTGTGTTTTTAAACCTTTTAAATCTAATTACAATGGTTGATAAGACTCACATATGTGGGCAACCAAATTGTTTGTTCCCTGTTGAGGAGGGAATGCAGTGTGATGACTGTAAAAAGTGGTACCACAAAATGTGTACACGCCTAAGTCTGATGGTATACAAAAGATGCTCGAAGCCTAACTCGCATTGGCTTTGTATGTTCTACTGTACGGATAAAAAGGTACTAATTCAGGAGGCTATGTGCCTATTGGCTTTGGCCTGCAAGAAAAACGATGACACATGCGCTGATAACACAGGCACTGACAGTGACGATTGTGTCATTGTAGTACCTGTTGTTAGGCGACGCCTCAAACAACCGACTCTGACTGACGCAAAAGTGAGATCGCCGTTAGCATTAACAAAGGGAGTAATACCACCTGGTACTGGCAGTGATAACAATGCACCTTTAGTGGGAACCGACGAAGTGGATAAAACCATCACCGTTCCAAATAGTCCCAACGTCCTGAGGGATGAAAAATGGACTACGGTACGTAGGAAACGAAACGAAAGGAAAAAAGCTGTAGGCAGTACATAGGTAGTTAGTAACTCACTGATGGACTCTCATTGTGAGTCACATACTGCACTACCAAAATCTGATGGTAAGAGTGAAACCCATCCTGGCGTGACTGAGAAAAAATCAAATAACAGCTAAAACTAATGACTGTTTACTTGATAAGTCCTTGGTGGACTTTCAGACCAATCCGCCAAAGCTCCAAAGTAAAGCTTCGTCTAACACGGTTGTGAGTCACTCACAGGACTCTGTTACAATAAAAGCTAATCGCAAGATACCAGCAGTTAATATACAGTATCTATCGTCACGGTCGAAAGCTGTTAATACAATTTCAAAGGAAGCTAAACCCCTTTCTAGTTTAATTATTTGGAATCTAGAGGAGTCGAAAGATAACGACCCTGCTAGAAGACATGCACATGACCTGTAGTTAGTGGAGTCTGTGGTAAGAAATGTGCTACCTGAAGAGGTTTCAGGGGTACATATTACAAAACTAATACGACTCGGTAAATGGGTTGGAGGCGAGACCCAACCAAGAAGAATCCTGAAGCTGGTTCTCGGGAGTTTCGAAGAAAGAGACATATTATTGAAAAACGCACCAAAAACTCGTGACTCAAATATCCGTATTCGACCAGATTGGCCGCTTGAGGATCGAATCAAGTGGAAGAATCCTCTTACGGAGTTGAGGACTCGCAAATTAAATGGCGAAAATAACCTTACCATTAAGGGTTTTCGGGTAGTCAGGTCTTGGAAGCCAATGCTTCCGAGGCCTGTATAGGTAGAACGATTGATTGCCAAAACACCTTAAGCGTATGCTACACGAACACTCGTAGTCTTATAAATAAAACGTCCGAGCTAAGTCTGATGGTGGAAGAATTAGGTCCCGATATAATCGTTGTTACAGAAACTTGGTTCACAGTAGATATAGACTGTTCTCCGTTCATTGCAGGCTATATCTGTATTAGAAGTATTAGAGTTTCAAGTCGCAAAGAGGGAGGTATAATATTATACGTTAGGGATCACTTTCGTGTACAGTCAACAATACGGGAGGCTCATATCAGTGGGACATGTGAGGTTGCATGTTGTAAGATCAAATCAAGAAGTGGGTTAGTGACTATAGGGGGAATATATCGTAGTCCGTTTTGTCTTGCTGACGACTTTATCCTAAGACACATCTGTTCTTGGAGTATGGCAGAATGTTGTCTCATCATTGGGGACTTCAACGCACCGCATATCAACTGGATAGAGCTTACAGCTCCAGGTAGTGGTTTCGATAGCGACCTTTTATCCACTGTTATTCAGTGTGCACTTGTACAATGTAACACAAAACCGACACATATTGATTTCAATCATGATCCGTCACTGCTGGACCTCGCCCTCACCCACCACTGTGAGGATGTCTTTGATATTCAGCACCTTCCCCCACTAGTGAACAGTGATCAAGTTGTAATTCACTTTAAGTTTAGGATACATGGTATACAATTCGTATCTGCTCCACCCCGTCCCAATATCTGGCGAGCCAATATTCCGGCGATCAGAAACTGTGCTATCTCGACTGATTGGTCGGTCGACACGGATGGATTGATCGAAGATGAATGGAACAAGTTTAAGGCTACATTCGAGTCCGTAACGTCGCTGTTTATCCCATGGTCAGCACGTAAGCTATCACATTGCCCTCCATGGATTAATAAAGAAACCCGGAAGCTGTTAAAGCGTAGGAAACATTTCTGGGACTTATTCTTGTTGACAGGTCATGAACCATTTAAGCGTTTGTACAAAAATTCCGTAATATATGTAAGAAAACCATAGCCAAATCCCGTACCACTTACGAACGACAGTTAGTATATGATAGCCGTACTTGTCCGAAACGATTGTTTTCGTATTTTAAACGGTGGACGAAACGTGGTGATGGTATTCTTACGTTACTGTTACACGAAAACTCAGAATTACTAGCTGAGTCAGATCGAGCAAAAGCTGAGACTTTTTTTAGCGAAGTCTTCTTTACGTTTGTCGTACCAAATACTTGTCCCACTCACACCGAGATACCAACCATGGAATCTGTACAGGTGACTGAGGAAACTGTCCTTCCGTTGATAACTAACCTCAAACCTTGTAAGACACCGGGCCCTGACGGGTTACATCCACGGTTGCTGTCATCTCTTGCGGACATTATTTCAAAACCGCTTGCGACACTCTTCAACATGTCCCTTTTGCTCGCTCAACTCCCTAGAGATTGGAAGGATGCTATCGTCAGTCCTATATTTATGGACGGTCAGAGACATATAGTATCTAACTACCGGCCTGTTAGTCTAACTAGCAGAGTCGTTAAGTTACTTGAAAAGTTAATTCGGGTTAGGTTGCTAAGCCACAATCTGTTAGCTCCTGAGCAACACGGATTTCGCAACGAGCGTTCATGCTTGACTAACTTGCTTATTGCGAGGGAGGATTGGACAACAGCCCTAGATTTTAGCAAAGCATTTGACAAGGTTTCACACGTAGGTCTTATGCAGAAGCTCATGAGCTTCGGAATAATAGGTACTGTACATGAGTGGATAGGAAATTTCTTATGTGACCGCAGACAGAGAGTGAGGGTCAACGGAACGCTATCCGATTGGAAGCCGGTCAAAAATGGTGTACCCCAAGGCACCATCTTAGGCCCCCTGCTCTTCCTTCTCTACGTTATTGAGTTACCGCTGTTACTTAGGTCGTCGACATTATTGTTTGCGGATGATGTAAAAATCTGGAGAACAATAAAAAGTGCGGCTGATCATTTGGATCTTCAAGCTGACTTAGACGATTTAGTTAGATGGGCTCGAGAGTGGGGCTTAGAAATCAATTCTAGGAAGAGTGTACTAATGCACATCGGTCACGGTAATAGTTACCGTCACACTATTGAGGGTAAACCTCTTCCATGCGTTCAAGAGCATAAAGACTTAGAAGTAGTATTAAGTCATGATTTAAAAACAACTACGCATTGCAAAGCAGCCGCTGTCAAAGGTTTTCGTGCGTTATGGTCACTTCGCCGAGCGTTCAAATCTTTTGACGAGGAAACGTTTCGAATTTTATATCCCACGTATGTAAGACCACACTTAGAGTACTGTATCCAAGCAGCTAGCCCGTGTCTGGTAAAGGATACTAACTCCCTTGAGCGTGTCCAGCGTGTGGGAACGAAATTAGTGAAGGGTCTTTCTAGACTCCCTTACGATGAGCGTTTAAAACGCCCAAATCTTTTCCCCTTGTCGTATCGTAGGACACGAGGTGACCTTATACTGGCATTTCGTATCTTGAATTATGATTTGGGTGTTAATATGCCTTATCTTTTTGCTCCCTCCAGCACTAATAATCTCCGCGGTCATAGCAAGAATGTTCATAAACCAAGATCTAATAAACTTAAAGTGGGGTCCCGTTTTTCTCATCGAGTAGTCAATCATTGGAACGCCTTACCCGAACAAGTGGTATCAGCTCCATCAGTGAATACTTTCAAGAAGAAGCTGGACCTTCACTGGAAAGCAGTGTGTCAGGATTAATACAGGTTCATCAACCTACTATCCTTATTACTGAAGACTGAAGACTGTTGGAAACTGCAGCGAAACACTTTATTCCTCCAGTCATTTGAAAAATGAGTACATTTTCATGATAATATACAATAGAATGAACTCACTCTCGCACTCTTATGATTTTTATCAATCATCTAGACATTATAAATAGTTAGTTACTATTTAGGTATTCAGTAATATCAGTTGTTTGACTATTGTTAACTTGTAGGTCGTATGAAGCGCAATACTCAATGTAGGTTCTGGCTGACTCGCAGTGCATGAAGGCATTCATAAAGGTTTGAGAGTTACGTTCCGCTAATTTCTACCACAGAAAAGGGCTCCCGATGCCTCAGATAACGGATCTGAACCTAGTAAGTTTTATCCTGTTATTTGTTGATGAGAATAAAACATGGTTTTTCCCTGTGATAAACGCTTATTTCTAAGTTCTTTGTTTGTTGTCAAGTGAATTAAACCTTTTTATTCAATAAAGCATCCGTAGATAAAGTGAAGAGCTTCTTCTCAAAGTTTGGCAGTGGTTTGCGTACTGCTTTCGCCAAACCACAACATCCTAGTGTGCCAGTTACTAGTCGTGACGTTAACAATTATTGTTATCCTTCTGATGATCTGAAAACAAGCAAAGAAATTGTTTCTACCTCAAGGGAGGCGGTTGACGCTCTTCATCCTTTAAGGTATGTTTAACTTTTAACTGAGGTTCTGAAAGTATGTCGGCTTCGATCTACTTTCTAATTAGTCAAATGTTTGGTTTAGAGGTGGTAGAATTAATGAGACGTTTCGTAATCACTTCGTAACAGACTGCAGATATCGATTATTTTGTTGTCTGGTTGATTGTTTGATCCATTTTTCGGTAACAGGTCTGATATCTGCTTAGTATCGCGTGGCACATTCACTATTAGTGTTTATATTGTAGCTACTACGGAATAGTTCACCTTTCGCTTCGCTAAAGCTACCATATTTATGTGAAAAATATATTCGAGTGTAAGCCTATGCTTATGCACTAGTGAGTTTTTATCTTGGTACATATTTGGTGAAGCAAATTCTTGTTACCCTCCTTACGGATGTCGAGGTCAGTTATGTGTATTTAATTACCATTTTGTTCATGTTTCATGTCCATATTCATATGCAAATCTAAGTTTGTATATTGCTGCCCTCTACAAAGTCCTGAAGTTTTTTTGTAGTTTTTCATTGAAGTCACCACTACTTTTTCTCGAGTTCACTCAAAGCCTACTATACTTTTCAAGCAACCAGTTACATCAGTGACACTGATCGCTTTTGCTTCACTCGCCGATGAGCGTCCCACTTTGTATAACAACACTGCTTCTGAGTCCATTCATTCCATACAAATGGCAACTGAATAAATCCTGACATTTTTTCTGCCGAATAACTTGCAGTTGTTTAGTCATAATACATTAACATGCTCTCATTGTTACAGGTATAAATTACATGGCCAGTAAAATATCATAATCACAACAATAACCAGATTCAACCCTGGAACTATGATATCGTCTCCTGTAGATTTGTTAACGTCTGCGCTAAATTTTACGTGCTGTCCAACCGTTTTAGTCTACCCACTGAGAATCATCATTCAGATAGCTGTTTAAAAAGTTTATAGAATATGTTATTTTCTCTTTAACTTCTATATACCGAACACTTGAGGAGTTTAGCTTGAGTATTTGTTTAACATTCGCCACAATAAGAATGTTGCTGAAATAGGAATAACAAGACATTAATACCAAGGTCATCGTTCAGTGCATACCTCATAGTTATAAAATGTGGCCTGTAAACCTAATCATATTTCCTTTTGTTTATTACAAGCACCACTCAGTAAAGTTTTCAACGCGATTTTTTAATCTATAAAGACATCACAGTGTACGAGGACATCACTGATATCTTACAAACACATATTAATATCTATTCGGGTGCATAGTAGTCTACAGTTAAGATCAATATAGTACAGTAACTATGAAAAAACATTTAGTTACAAAAATCATTAACTTAAATGATAGTTATATATTTCACTGACTATAACTAATGTATTTTATAGCTCTTTGTACTGACTATTTAGTTTAATAATCTTGGTGAAATAAGATGTAGTTCAATCGAGAGACTTAGAAAGCACAGCTAATACACCTGTGGTCCTCAGTACATGGCTAGCCACCCGTAGTTGCACTCTGGTCCAATTGTTTATAACTATAGAAACTTCGAATGTATTAACACAATGTAACTAAATCTTGCTAACTGATTGTTGTATGCACTCATAAGTTTTTTTCTCTTAATCTGCATTTTATTATCCTGGTCTGTTTTTAATATAAAAGATCTAATTACCCAAAAAATTTTAGCACATGGCATTATTTTTATATCCCTTTAGAACTGATCACCCAGTTATACATGGGTTTTGTTGCCCTTCAGTTCATAGAACCTCCTGATATAATACTGGATGGCCTGTAAAATTATTTAGTATGTATTCAATCCAAGAGGCGTATTCTTTAGTGGTTAAAGCTTCTAAATTACAATCATTTATTACTGTTTAAATGCCATTTTCGCCACTTTTGTTCGGAAAGCTAGTGGTTTAAGTTCATGTATACAAACTCATACTTGGTTACTTAGTCACATTAGGTTATCCAGACTATGTATCGATAATTTTTTCTACATGAAGTGTCAGGATATTTCATGTCTTATGGCTTTTTTGGACGGAATTCTACCAAGTACTCGTTAACGGTTTTTCTAATTGTTCTTTATGGTCTCCTGTCATTTAAATCTATTGCTACTACTTACTAACGGGACATATGAGATAGCCTTAAATCTTGTGTTATGGCGTAGTTTCAATTACGTCAACTAAACATTGAATCTCAATATGACCTCTCAGTAAAGCTTCTGGGTAAACGAAAGGGTGTCGCTAATTTATTTCTATTGTAATGGCATATATTCGCTGATGGTGTGCAACGTAATTAAGTTAACATACGTATTTCCAAGGTTGTTTCTAGACTTTCCTGTTAACTGTAACAGAAATTGTAGATAATGTCGTTTAGTTTCACCATTCTTAGAATGTTTGGTATAGGTTCCACTCAGATCTCACATAATCATTTGCTAGTGATGGCTAATAAGTGTAGCATGTTCTTCGCTTTAAGTACATTCTTTGATTAGAATAAAATTTTTGCCTTCGTTTGCTCTAAATGGTTAGCTTTAGGGGACAACCAAGTTTGTGCATTTAGCAATCTTTGATGTAGTTCATTGTTAAAGCACTTGTCTTTCGAGCCGTAGGTTGCGGGTTGGAATCTTGATCTAAGAACGTATTAAATTATTTCGGAATTTGGAAGTATCATCATCCTAAAGCGATAGGCATCCTCATCCTTAATGTTCTCCTGGGGAAATCATCATACTCCACAGATTGATCAAAGGTCGTATGAAACTATTTTTAGAGTGCCAAGCTAGTTTTCTTAGATACACTAACTATATATCAACTCCCCTACCAAATGCCCGAAAACCAACGTAACTATTTCAAACCAACAGTCATATTTTTCCTGATATCAGAACCATCTGGATAGAAATCTAATCGAACATTGTATGATAAAGAAAAATATCCTTTAGAATCTTGCTAACACCTTAAAGTTCTGTATGAAAACACCTGAAGGAGATGGATGGCATCTTTGTATATATGGTAGGGTGATCCTTTTGTTGATTTTTGTGTTCCTTTGTTATTTCATCAAAAAGATGGATGGCATATAGCCGCTTTGTGTTTCGAATTCCTTTTGTTGTCTTATTATACCAAACGTTTTTGGTGCTAGAAATGAATAAAACAAAAAAACTAATCTTTGTATGTTGAAAATGATATCGGGACATTTCTATGTAGGTCACCATCTATTTCGTGGAGACCTAAATCTTGTCTCCTATAAGTTCTAGTCTCCCTGAGCGAAGGGTTTCCGATTTCTGTCCTGAAATTATTCATATTCATATGGTTACATCATGCAGGTAGCCCTAATATCACCTGTTATACGGCCAAGTATGGAAGGGACCTTTTCTAAAAAAATGGGAGCAACTTGAGATACGAGCTGTCATGAAGTAGTTATGCTTTACCTGTGTGGTTTGAGCGGTTATCGTTTCGACTGAAAGAAGTAGAGATGTGGTGGCATAAAGAATAGTGCTGCATGAACACCTGTTGGTGGAACCTGAGTACCCGTATGACTTTCTAAGAGTATCGTAACTTTATAACTTCTGACCTAATTGGATATTGTCAACAATCTAATTCTGTATCGATATCGCACTTTTTTTATTTTTTTCCATTTGGACAATTAAAAATAACAGTACAAAATCCGGGGCATATTTTAATTGACTGCTTTTATATTTCCTATTTATTCATCGTTCATTTCTTATTTAGTTAGTTATTTTTGTCAGTGTTGTTATATTTCCATACTTAGTACATCTTTTGTATATACTGTACCGAGTTTTCACTGAAATAAATATATTAATAATATTGAAGTGTGATGTATCTATAACCCATTTGTATATAATCTGAGATATTTTCTAAATAAAATACTGTCTATACCAACTTGTAATCTATCTGTTCGTCGATGAACCAGTATGCTCACCATTGGTACACGTAATGCGTAAATCCCCTTAGGTAGTATTTTTGTGGTTAGAGGATTTGGCTTTCAGTCATAGAATCGCAAGTTTAAACCCCGTTGTGCCTACTGAGGTTTGAACTGACAAGTACCCTTCAAACCTCAAACGTAGCTTAAAGATGAGTACGTCAGCCTATGCTTAGTTAATTAGTTATCTCTTTGTGCCTAATGACGTTATCAGGAATACAAAAATCACAAGTAAATAAGTCACTTCAAAAAGACAAAGCTGTGAGTACTAAGAAGTTTGGAGTAATACTGTATTAAAGATTCTAAGAAAATAAAGAAAAAATGCATTTACACTACTTTAGTGTATTTTAAGACTTGATCACGTTAAGTCTGTTCGTATATTATAATTACTACATGAACCTCAGCCAAGAAGTTTATACCCTTAACTATGTCCAAGACTGAGATTCAGTAACCTCATGGACTGATGTTATCTTACATCCTCATTGGAAGAAAGAAAAAGGCTTAAAACATTCTCCTAATCCAACTCATGTTTTTCGAGAAGCTGCATTTTGTCAACGTGATAACTAAAACGGGATATATTATTTGCATTTTTCGTGTTGATAAAAAGTTATCTAGTTAAGTACTATAATCACTAGTAATCTAACGAATAAATACTTACGTCGAGCTTTTTATCCGTTAAGTAGAACGGGGAAACGGACATCTTTAGTGAGTACTGCTTGGCACTGTCTTCGAAGTAAAGACCGGTGTCAAGCAAGGTTGCTTACTCTCACCCTTTCTCTTACCCCTAGTGATCGACTGGATCATCAGATCACAGATGATCTGACCCTCCCATCGCACACGCAACAACAAACTCAGGTGAAGACAATCAGTGTAGCAGCAGCTTCAGCAGCAGTAGGTCTCAACATACACAAAGGGAAAAGCAAGATTCTCCGATACAACACAGCATGCACCAATCGAATCACACTTGACGGGAAGATTTGGAAGATGTAAAAACCTTTACATATCTGGGCAGCATCATTGATGAACAGGGTGGATCTGATGCAGATGTGAAGGCGCGGATCGGTAAAGCAAGAACAGCATATTTACAACTGAGGAACATCTGGAACTCAAAGCAACTGTCAACCAACACCAAGGTCAGGATTTTCAATACAAATGTCAAGACAGTTCTACTGTATGAAGCGGAAACCTGGAGAACTACGAAAGCCATCATCCAAAAGATACAAGTGTTCATCAACAGCTGTCTACATAAATTACTTCGGATCCGTTGACCAGACGCTACCAGCAACAATCTACTGTGAGAGAGAACAAATGAGATTCCAGTGGAGGAAGAAATCAGGAAGAGCTGGAAGTGGGTATGAAACACAATGAGGAAAGCATCCAACTGAGACACAAGACAAGCCCTCACATGGAATCCTCAAGGCCAAAGGAGGAGAGGAAGATCAAAGAACACATTACGTCGAGAAATGGAGACAGACATGAAAAGAAAGAACAACAATTGGATAGAACTAAAAAGGAAGGCCCAGGACAGAGTAGGTTGGAGAATGCTGGTCAGTGGCCTATACTCCAGTGGGAGTAACAGGCGTAAGTAAGTAAGTAAGCTTGGCGCTGTCAACACAGACGATCTCAAATACACTATTCCAGTAAAGACTGCTCTGTTGAGTTGTGTACTTCACTGACGCGCTTTCCAAAAATGGGCATGGCCATAAGCTCTCTCAATCAATAAAGTTCGGTGCCTCATTGAAGTCAAAACATTCATTTGGACGTTAGTAAGCGTGTTTATGTATTACGACCTAATAGAGGATAATAGTTTGATCAATATATCTAAAAGCTGTTAATTATGGAATATTTATCGATTTTGGAATCTGATTCCTCTTTATCAAAGGAGGATGTTTTATTTACCGAGACCGGTGATAATAACTTATAAAATGAAATTACGCTGAGCTCTTAAACTTTAATGCCTTATTTGATCAAACTAGTAATCTTGAATCATAACCTCTGAAAACCCTCAATTCAACCTGCCAGGCAGGATCTGTTGGTTTCCATAGTTTCAAATTAGTTATAACATTTCCAACTTTCATTATCTATCACCATGTCGATAATGCCAATCATACAGGTTTGTAATAATCAATAGTTACATAAAATAATTATGTTTAGTTCTAAACATGTTAACTGCTAACTTATTCGTAATCAACTTCACGTTTTTATATTTGACTTGTATGTGTTTATATATTTTAAACAGTAATATGAAGTAAGTTATTTGTAGTTGATTATTCCAATTAAAATTTACTCTGTTCACTTTCGAATAATTTTGTTTGCCACAAAAATACACTAGTAGAATTAACCATGTTTGCTACTATCTAAAAATATGCGAAGTATATATATATATGTCTGGTGTGTGACCGCTTATTGATTATTCTATTGTGTGGTTATATAAACGGATTTAAATTATTTTCACTTTTATTCTAACTACTATTGTACACTTTCTAATATATATGGTGTCTTCAAAATAATTTTTATTTCAGTGTTTTATTTAAGTGTTTGTATGTGTTATATTCACTTGACAGGAATATAAATTTATATGAAGTTCAATTATTCAATATCCATTTGAATAAGTTTATTAATTATTTTCTAACAACATAGTCTTTGTAGAAATTTTTCACAGCTCAGTGGTTTATAGTCATTTACGAACTTCCTTTCTCTTTAAAATAATATACTCAAAGTGATGTGTGTGATAAAAGAAACCCTAAATATACTTATTTATTATTTTTACTGTTTATCGCTAACATCGGATAAGAGTTATGCTAAAATCTACATGGTTAGATTCTGTTACACTCTGAGGTGAATTTATCAGAATTAATCTATTTCATTTCTATATAGACAGAGCACTTCTCTTATTTTCGGCCATCACAGCACATTTTCTATCCGGTTCTGTAGAATGAAATTTGTGATGATTCACAGAAACAATGTTGTTTTGAAAAAATAGTTATCTAATTTACGTATACAATCAAGTATTCATATTACTATAATGACTTAAGACGTAGCTCTATTAGTGCAGATCGGAAATTGATGAATCTTTTATAACTAATTGAAATAGAAGGGGAATTTTCCTAACATGCTAAGAAATTCGTATATAACGCTTTAGTTTGAACTTGTGTGTTTTTCTACACCCAAGTTCATTTCTTAAACCTACTTTAATCAAACAATCTTATGCTTATTTTTCTCGGATAATCTAGATCATTTCGAATTATCAGTACATTTAAAATTTACAGGTTAATCTTCCTCTAATATTTGTTTTATCTAAATATTACTGTTTACAGAGCTGTCGTAGATAATGGAATGTTTTACCGTAATCGTTGGCTATATTTTACACAGATGTAAAAGAATTGCCATTTTCACTTCACTAATTCTATTTGTCTATAATTTATTGTACCATGAATAAAGAAAATTGTATTTCTGTAAAATGTGTGTGAAGCTGACTCTTAGCTACCCAGAATAAATTAGTAGACTAATTAATTAACTCAAGTGCTCTAAATCGATAACTATTGAATATTTTGTGGGTGTAGTTATTTATAGCCATATATTTAATATAATTTTTATGTAACAGAAAACATTTCGAACCTAACGCCTGGACATTTTCGTTGACTTTGACTATAGCTTGAGATCCCCGTTAAACTGAATTTTCATGTCTAGTCATTCAACGTTAATAATCCTCTTTTTTGGGGGGGGGGGAGAAAGTGAGCAATTTGAGGATGTTTAAACCCATTACTTAATAGAAATGAGAGATAGCTAATTGATAAATAACTAGTTAACTAACTGACAGTATTTTTTACAATTCGGATGACTAACAATACTTACTATTATTCATACTTCTCAATGCGAGTAAAAGAGAATTAACGAGTGTCATTTCTCTTTTGTGAAGAGATGAATAGAAAAATAGGGAAATGAACATTATCACCGCACAGTTATATAACTAATTGTTCTAAAATTAAACGTAAGACTAAGTTGACTGGTTCTTGGTTGCAACAAACCATTGCCAATTACGGTTCACATTAATAAAGGCAAATGATCAAGGGCCCATACCAGTAAGGTTGATTATCAAAAAGGCTCATATTAGGTAGTTTGTATTCCCTGACAGTTGCAAATATCATTTCGTTGTAAGTGAAAAGAGATTGCTTAGACTTCTCTACTGCAGAACCCCATACTAATTATTAAATAGGTTAACTAGATTCTCAGCTTGGCTGTTCCAAATAGATATATGATATAACATGACTGGGGTTATTAAGAATAACAAATTGTTACTGAACTCAAAAATCTACAGTAGATCCTACATTGAGTGTTTAAAGAACTACGTTTTCGATCGGTCGCAGAGGTAAGAGGACAGATGATAGACCGAACAAATTTTAAACCCATAAAAATGTTGTTCCCTCTTTCGATGCCCACCTTTTCAGTGATCGCCTCTTGATAGTCACTCTTATGAATCCTTACCATTGTTGGTATACGACCTTTTTCATTCACCCTTGTGCTCGGGCTTTTATTAATAGGTAGCATCAGTTACATCCTTAAATAACCTTAGGACGAAACCGTGAGCGATTGGGTATAGACTAAATGGAATTATAGTAGTTGGATTCATGAGTCGATCTAAGCTAGACCATTGAAAACCTGGAAGCACTAGACGACCGTTTCGTTCTAGTATGGGACTCCTTAGCAGTGCACATCCATGGATCCCACGTGCGGAACTCTAGCTTAGATCAACTCATGAATTCAGCTATTAAAATTACTAAAATCTCCACAAATCCCCACTCTAATAAATTGAATTAGTCTACCTGTGTTTGTGATATAATAATATAATATATTCTGAAAAATGGTTACAGAATGTAAGTCAATTTAAATGGGCGGTCGAGTTAATATGAATTAACAGACAATAATTGTAATAATAATCATACACACCACAAAAAAACAACTTCTAGACTGCTTCTAAATTAGCGTTTATTACAATCTTGTTTATAGTGGGAAATGTAAAACTTATCCTATTAAGTAAAGAGTTCATACAAATTCTTGGTGGCTAGTGTTGTATTTATTGAATATACATTCCACTGAGGTGAGTCATCCGAAATCAGTCCTGTTATCGATTGGGTGTCATATAGTTTTACGGTAGTTGTTTAGTTGATATTCAGATCATAAAGTGTTATGTGATATATCTCTACTTTTAAGGTTTTTCGTCGAAAACAGTTTAATATAAAACATGAAAACTGTCATCTCGCATTCCTATGAATAGGTAATTAGATAGGTTTTGATTGCTAAACTTTGGAAAATCACTTAGTTTCTGGATTACAATTACCTAGTGCCCAAAAAGCTAAATAAATAAATTATGACTTCCAATAGGGTAATATTAAACGTGTGAATCGTAATTCCTCTCTTCTTACCACACTTATTAGCTACCTGAAGTATTTTCAATGCTAACCTAATCAGTCATTCATTAAATTAATCATATTCTAACCAACTTTTTCATCATATTCCATGAAAATGATCTAGATTAGAATTGTTTTTTAGTACTTTTATATTATTTATTGCAATGTTTATATTCTTTCATGTTTTGTAGAGGTGATCGAGTTTCCCCTGCGATTCATATATTGAATGAACCACGTGGTTCTAACCCACGATCATCATATGTCCGTGGAAATGCATCCCCTCAAAATTCTGCTTTTCGAGTAGGTTATTTTTCGTCATTTTTTCTTCTATATATTTCTGTTATGTTATCCTTAGCAAATACGAGTGTTTATTTACTACTTAGCTTCAAATTGAATATCTTGAACTGATATCAAATAGATAATCACAAGAACCAGAGAACACTGGACATCAATCCTATACTACTTTGAGACTTCCTGACAGTCGATATCCACGACTATATACAACATCGAAATCTATACCCTTCAAGTATTACAGTCAGTCAGTTACAACCTGGGACCAATCACATATATGCACCGGTCCAAGTTACCACACCTCATTAACACAACAAGATGATCACCAAATTTATAGAAATAGTCACTTCAATGGTAGTAATGTATAATAGAAAGATCGTGTATAAGGATATGATACACGAAGAATGAATTCATAGAAAGATAGATATAAAGTAATTTTAATTTCACGGTTTAAGGGAAGACAAAGAGCGTATACACTGACGCCATTGTGATCGATTCTGAGCCATGTTACTCAGAGTCTCAAACCATTTGTTACGATTGTCACGCGGACCCCAACCAAGTAGTCTGCATCTACCAACATGGCTCAGACTAGAAGTCAGTGACTTCAATGACTGATGCTACGTTTTGGTTTGTCCAACCCTAACTTTCTTCCAAACGTCTCTAACACTAGTCAGCATTATGTGTCGTGGTAATCGGTGTTCAGGCATACGTAACACGTGGCTCAACCATCTCAGTCGATGAAGATTTACAACCTCATTAACTGATTTCTTATCATCCCCTAATACCCTATGTCTAACCTCACCATAACTTACCCGGTGATCCCAGTAGATGCAAGCAATATTTCTAAGACATCTGTGATCAAACACTAGTAACTTACGAGTATCTCTTACTCTTGATGGCTACGATTCGCAGCCGTAAAGTAGAACAGAACAAACTGCTGAGTAGCATACTCGTCCTTTTATCGATGGACAGATATCTTTCCTTCACTTTAGTTGACGTAAGTTGGTAAAAGCTAAACGACCTTAATGAATCCATGCGGAGATTTCGTCGGACACCAACCCATTAGCACTGATCAGCCTTTCATTATAAGTGAATTTGTCGATGCGTCCGACTACTTCACTCCCTATCCTTAGTTCAGGTGTTGACGCACACCAGTCCTGGAGCAACAACTTGCATTAAGAGGGGGAGAAAAGCATCCCAAACATCCTAGCATTCTTGCTCAGTGCTACCAAAAGACCGCATTTTATCAACGTCTTCACCAAACAGGAATATGTTATCTGCGTACTCTAAGTCGATCAGTGGACCTGCCGGAAGGAGATCAATGCCCGATAATTCAGTCGACGAGAACGTTATTTCCATCAGTAGGTCTATGATGAAGTTAAACAAAAATGGAGAAAGTGGACAGCCTTGACGGACACCACTTGAGGTTGCAAAATTAGATGACAGTTCGCCATAAGCTCTCACTCGACTAGTAGTGTTTGAGTAAAGAGCCTTTACAAGGTTTATGTACTTCTGAGGTACGCCTTTCAATGACAGCCACTGCCACAGAACCTGTTGATCTACAGAGTTAAATTCTGCTTTCAAGTCAAGAAGAACTGTCATTGTCGGACGCCGATAAGTATGCCTGTGTTCTAAGATCTGATGAATAGTGAATTTGTGATGGATGCAGCCACGACCAGGTCTGAAACCAGCCTGATTTTCTCGTGTTTACAGTTCACGAGTCTTTGTTAAGCGTCCGATAATTATCGAGGCTAATATTGTAGATGCTATATTAGTCAAACTAATCCCTCTATGGTTATCACAGGGTGGTTTTGACCCCTTCTTATGTATTGGGGCAATCAATGATTGTGACCAATCAAATAGAATTACGTCCAACTCCCAGATTTTAGGTAAAATATTAGTCAACCTAACTGCTAAAACCGGACCACCATACTTAAAGACCTCTTGAGTCAATCCATCTGGACCAGTTGCCCCTCCTCGTTTCAGATTAGCTATAGCTATTTGGACTTCAATTACAGTCGGGGGACCTATTTCAATGTTCTGTTCAGACTGTTGAAATGGTGAGTAGCTGTAGAGTAGCTGAAGGCCAGCCGAACTGCTCCTCAAAGTGTTTCGCTCATCGTTCTAAACGTCTGGACTGAGAGCACATAAGAGTGTCGTCTTTTTCTGAGATCGTCTCACTTACACTTGACTTCCTAATTCCAGTATCGTTTATTAGTCTGAAAAGCTTTCTAGTGTTACCTACAGCCGCTGCCTTTTCCATTTCTTTTGCTTTGGTTGCTTGCCATTGTTCATGATCCTCTAGCGAACTTCCGGTTAAACTAGATCTGATTTGTATTCGATTTTTATCGTGTTCGGAGCCAGATGGGATAAGTTTACGAGAACTTATCAATGCAATAGACGTAGTAGAAATCCACTGGTTTTTCGCAACCCTTTGGTTTAAATCACTAAAAGATGTCGCTGCTGTTTCCACAGCTGCTCGTATATCTTTCCAAGCAACATATGGGTCAGCCTCGTTTCCAGAACTACCTAAGTGTGACCTCAGTTGTTCCTGGAGCCTACTTTTGACTTTCTCGTCATTGAGTTCAACCCTAATAAGTCTTCTTAATGTGATTTTTCAGCGCTCATTGAGGTGCAAGCAAATGCGTGCTCGTATTGTAACACGATCAGATTCTAAACATTTACTGCAGAACGAGCGGGAGTCTTCTATCGACCCTCTCCAACGATGACTGATGACAATATGGTCTATTTGAGTCCATCGTTGGTTTGGTGTAGGGGGTTGCCATTTCAGGCGATGTCTCTCCTTATGCCTAAAATTAATGCTTGCTAAAAATAAACAATCGTCTGAGCACAGTTGCAGCAGACGATCACCATTATCTGTTATCTGAACCGGAATACTAAAATACCCACCTAAATGTCTTTCTCTTTGGTTTAAGCTACCTATCTGGGCATTAAAGTCACCTTCTACGAGTACTATGTCTGTGTGTTTAGCTTTTTGAAGAATTTCAGAAAGCTTTCTGTAAGATTCATCTTTCATTTCATCTGAGCTGCAGTCAGTGGGAGCGTAGGCAAAAACGACGAAAAGGCGCGGCCGTAATGCCCATGGGCAGCTACTTAGGGTCGGTCACACACGACCTTTTTATGGGTAATTTTTGTGTTAGCTCCATAATTGTTGAGACACCACCTCTGGAGACGGATATCCGTGGGATAAGGCGAGGTGTGTATTTCTAGGGTCGACCTTTTCTCACCCCACCATGTGGGAAGGCAGCATCGCTGTTATGCTGGTTGTCCGAAGGAAACACCTTACTGCCGTCACACCTTTTTACAGTCAGCAGTACGACTTCGCTCTCGGGCCTTGGGTTCGCTGCTTTTAGTCTTACCGCTCTTCAACCGACCTGTCTGGCATAGTAGGACCTTGAGGAACGATTGTTCCAACCAGTATTGCCCGATTGGCTTATTAGGATAGACCAGCCCAACCACCACGTTAAGGTAGCAGCAACGGTTAGGTGTTCGTAGATGCTCCTAACATCGTATTCCGTTAACACAACTGTATGAGATTCATTAGTATCAGTCTAGTATTATCTAGTTAGTTATCTAGTTAGACGACTCTCTGTGTTCGATCATCGCTGTCTCCAAAGGATTGCTGACATTCAGTGGCAACACCATGTCAGTAATGCACAGGTTCGGCATCGTGTGTTCGGGCACAGAGATGATAATTCAATTGGTGTCACCATCTTGAAACACCGACTTCGGTGGCTTGGACATGTTCTCCGAATGCCGTCCCAGAGAATTCCATGTCGTGCATTATTTGCCGACTCTGGGACTGGTTGGAAGAAGCGGAGAGGTGGTCAGTGCATGACATGGTGTCGTGGCATGAAAGAAAGCTGCAAAGGACTGGCTTGTGATGGTCCTTCACGACTCCCTGGTTGGGGTCTGAGAGATGGTGCTACACAGTGGCTAGAGACGTCATCAGATATGGCTCAGAATAAAAGCCAATGGCGATCCTGCTGTAACCTTCTTTTACTTTCTTCATAAAAAGTGGTTCTGTCTCCCTTACCTGAAAGATTTCTTCCGATTGTACCTTTGGGTTCCCTGATTACTAGCACATTACCTTACACCAATCTCTTCGTTATTGTTCTCCTTTTTTTTCTTTCTTTGTATTCCTCTTGAATTTTCATTGTTTTGTGTGGCGCATATATATTGGCGCTCTCTTGTACCAATATTCATGTGTCCAAATAAATAAATAAATAAATAATAAATCTAGTTATGTAGTAATAGATCAAAGAGATCGGTTTACTGTATTCTGTGAACAAATACTCAACTATTTCTACCTAATAACCCTCCTTCACTAACGATTTGCAATCCATGCGATGACCGCAATCATTGGTTGAAAACTTAAGATGACATGGGTTGGATATAATCATTCTTTATCTTCCCATAGGTTTTGAGTTTCAACATTCTCTTATACATATATTTTCACTGTCTCTTTATTACCATATGCCCAATTTTCAATCTTTCTTACAATAATTTCTACAACATTTTGCGATTCCTTTGTTATTAATCTTGTTAATTTCTTGTCGTTGTGCTATGGCGGTGTGGAAATTTGAGCCAAACTATTTTTCTTAGTCTCTGCATTGATTATGAACGAATGACTGGAGCTAACAATCCATTTTGTTAGGAATCAAAGTAAGGCGGTAAGATCTTTAGTATTTATAGTCCGTTGTCTAATGGTGTTAAGATGTTATCTAATGAAAGATAATTATTGCGACATTCAGCATCCCTACTTCATTATCTTGCTTTAACAGGGGTTAATTATTTGGGGACTACTGTTCATAAGTTTGTTACATCCTTTGAACCATCGACGCATAAATTACTTTTACGATTTTTATAAGAAGGGGTTTGTGGAGATTTTAGAGATTTCACAGATTGAAATCATGAGTCAATTGAAGCTAGACCACAATGGAAAACCTGGAAGCACTGGACCGCCATTTCGTCCTAGTATGGGACTTCTCAGCAGTGCGCATCCACGATCCCGCCCCTCGAGATTCGAACCCAGGACCTATCATTCTCGCGCTAGGCTCTCAACCAACTAAACCACTGAGCCGGCATTCAATGGTGTTGATGTCTAACTTCAACCGATTTTAACAAAAGATTGTGTTCTGTCTTTAATCAAATTAGTACGTTTCCATTCAGTGCTTGTAAGGCATAGATTCTATAACCTGATTATATTCGACTAGTCTTTCTAATAAATTATTCACCTGACATTAAAACATTTTAATATTTTTCTATTTATTAGGAAGAATTGAACTCAAAACTACGAATTCGCCCTGGTCATAATCTTCCACCTCGAATAACAACAATTGCTAAGTCTGCTGAAAGTTCCGATAGTTTCATTTCAAATGAATCCTCTTCACCACATCAAAAACATTTAACTAGTCCATATTCACCTCCCCATAGTACTCATGTATTGGCAACAACCCCACCTAATAGTACACATGAGTCTATCAGTTCAACTCCATCATCCGCTGGTGCCTCAGATTTAGTCAGTTTACAGCATAAACTAGCTGTCAGTAGACCTAGAAATCGTCGTCCACCATCAAAAACTTATCGTCGTACATTGAATAAAACGGATGAAAATGTTGTTGGCTTCTTTTCTTTATCACCCAAGCATGTTTCGACTAATGATAATTTCTTTTCAGTTTCTAATCCTCAACTGGGTCTTATAAAAGAAGAAAGTGAAATAATACATCAAATAAGTGAAAAACCACCTCATCAAAAAATATCTAACATTCACCTACCCACTGAAATATTAACTGTAAATACTGGTGAATCGATTAGTGAGAATTCTGATTCAAATAAACTTGATTCTTCACTTTCAGGACTAAATTTAAGAGGCAGGTTAGTATATGGATTTTCTTTCAATGCTATACATTGTTTATATTAAAGTACACTTAGTTTTCACAAACAACTTGCACTTTGATGTATTGTAGAGTAATGACACCTAATTCATTAAGGCACTTGTCTTTCAATTCGTAGGTTGCAATTTCGAACTTTGCTCCATCCTACATTTGTATGGATAACGGAAGAGTATCACTAGCGTGTAGGAAGGTAGCATTGCTTAAAACTACGTAAATTTTTGTTTGCTTAATGGAATTATTTTTACATTACATTTACTTTTTCTGTGAAAAACAATACAATCAATAACATTTCTGTTGTGTTGTGTAATATTTGGTTTTGATACAGATACTCAATCTTCCTATACATAAGTCAACCTGGCTAGTCAGGTGAGAAGACTTAGAAGGAAGTTTATTGATTAGACCGAGTCGGTGACATATGTACCTCATATATATGTCCCTTAAAAAGTTAGGCCACTAATGGTGTATGTCTCATACCCTAGAAATGCAATCCATTTCTTGGCCAATCATTCACCCGATCTCTGATTAACCCAATATATTAATTTTCCCTCCTAAGAAAAGATAGGTGTGATATCTCAGATTCAGCTGTTGGGATCGGGGCGGGGACACATCAGTTTCGTTTATCCTATTATCATATTTGTGACTGTTTAAGGTGTTCACTAATTTAATCTTATGTTGTTATTGCTCTTGGCCCAAAATATACAAGGGGTATATATGTATTGATTTTTGAATGGTTAACTCAGTTATATTTTGCTGAAGAGTGCATATCACTTTCCATTGTTCAATGAACTCATCGTAGTTGAAATACAAAGTCTTATGACTAATTATGATGCATTTTGGTGGTAGTGTTTGAATTCATTTTCACGAAAATATTTTTATAACTTTATTACGTAAATGTAGGTCTCTGAAAATTATCCCTGTAAAAGGCGAAACTTTTATAATCACAGTTACAATAGCATACTTCACCATTAAACAACTTTGTATATAATAGCTCCAATAATATTCCATAGCTTATTTACTAAGTACATATTTATGCAATGTTTATAAAATAGTGATGATTTGCTTAGTAAAGTGAGATTGTTTATTAACTAAAACTTTTCTAAAGACTATATGATGTGTAATAAATATTCTGTGTATTAGATGCAAATTCGAAGATTGTTATTATGTTACGAAAGCATTAATAGGATCCATATCTGTGAAAGTACTTCAGAGAGTTTGATCACAACCCGACATATGCGATGGACAATTACGAATTTATCAATGGTGTTTTAGAAATGACCTCACTTTTATTATAGATGTTTGTTTGTGATGTAGAGTGTATATATCACACGCAACTTCACAATATGGAATAATTCATGAAATTAACTTCCTTGTAATTCATTAGAACTGGAAAATAATCTCAAGTACTGTTACAGGTATTTAGTCAGTTGCAACTTCTCCATTGACTACGCCCTGGGAGGATACTTCTTCTTGAGGTACATAAAAAAGAAAATGGGTTATTAGTGGTGTTTTTTGACCTTGGAGAGTAACCCCAGTCCCTGAGGAAACACATGGGCTTCTTGTGAGCAGTTTTTAATGTGTTATCTCTGTGTTTTCGAGGTACTACTTCTGACGATAGAAATCCATAGGGTATAGCGACGTGTAATAATTTTAGGGTCGACCTTTCCTAATCCCCCTCCCTTCCGTTGTGAGACGTTGGCATCATTGGAAATACCGGCTTTCTGAATAAACTACATTACTGCCGTCATATCCTATTGCAATTAACGGTTTGACTTCGTCCTCTGGCGTTAATTTCCTGCTTTTAGTCTTACCATTCTCCAAATGAACTACCTGGTATGGTAATTTTTAAAAAAACGAACCCAATATAGCTCAATGAGATCATCACCATATGCAAGTCCGATCACCACATCAACGTACCAGCTACGATCGTAACTTAGAATATTCGGGATTCATTTTCTAATGCCTATTAATCAATCTACTGATTTTGGGAGTTTCACCAGTCAAAATAATTTTATTTAAAATCATTCGACTGTTTAAGTTGAATAAAATCAAGAGTTTAAACCTAATCAAACTATGAGTCTGTTTCATGTATTTGTTACTTTTATTTGTATAAAACAAATATGCTAATGCTCATTTTAAACTATTGATTTTATTCTGTAGTGTATTTTGTAATAAATCCACACTGACCGACTTCGAATGCTCTGTCAATAGTAAACATAAGATTATACAGAAACACATAATTACTGACTAACTTTTATAGACGTAAGTATCAAATACAATGTCGTCCTCTGTATCAAATTACAACAACAAAAAGTCGACTCAACTTATCTGTTGAATAGTTAGTTATTTATTCATAATTTTACTATGTCAACTAGATACTCACATTCTTTATGTGTCCACGAATTTTATCTCTTGCTGTACGTAAATCAAGACATAAATACTAATTTATTGAAATGTATTTTACACTTGAATGAAGTGTTTAATGTTGATGTATAGCTGATTATTATGGTATTTCATAGTCTAATTTCCTGTAGGCTGACTTGCCAGCCATATATATATATATATATATATATATATATATATATATATATATATATATATATATATATATCAATAGCGTTCACAACTGTTCAACAATGAATAAAGGGCATTTTCGATTTGAAAGTATTTAGTATAATTTATTTGAAGGAGAAAAGTGAAAACGCAAAACCCACGTAAAACATTAACAGGCTTTTAATAGGAAACTTAAGAGTTGACAGTAAAAAAGTCACTTTTTGAATGTGATTTTGCTAAGACATGGGAAACGGAAACTGGCACAATTTGCTACAGCATAGAGAGATTCCATAGTATTAAAATATAGTAATAATATTAGTGGTAGTAGTAAAGATTAGGTATTGACGATGTAATTCGAGAAATGTGGATTAGTGAGATAGAAAATTTCTATAAGATAATTTAGAAACTTAAAAACTAAGGAAAAACAAGTAGCGACTGCATCTACGCCATTCCCAGTAAATTTTAGCCATATCACCTTATGTTTCGAACCATTGTTGAAGATAGTTACGCGGACCCCAACCAGGTAGTGTACATCATCTTCACTTACACGGCTCATTTCAACAGTCAATGACTTTATAGACTAGTGCATGTCTTGGTTTTGTCTCCTTTAACTTTCTAACCTATTTATAAACTAACTATCATCATACATCCAGTTAGTCAGAAATCAGCTACCAAAATAAAATTATATTCACTTTTTATATCACTATTCTCTAATTATTCTTTTTGTAGCCTAATTACTATAATACTTACAATTTTCTTTTCTCTCTTTTCATCCAATCGGAGAAAGTACAACAATTTAGATTAGTACAGTTTACACGAAATTCTGTATTATTTTATCTGTTTTTATTATAATATTTGTTGTTAGTTAATTATTAACCATGCTATTAATTAAAATATACGTCCTTTATAGTATTTTTTATCAAAAAATATCTTTCAATTTCATATACTTTAATGATTTACTTCCTGTCTCTATACATTAAATAATGAAGTTAAGCTTAAAGATTGTAAATTATTTTACCCACTAGCAATTGTAAGATGTATATTCACACTATGAATAAATAGTTAAATTCTTTTTGTAAAATATTATGCTATTTCATAGTAGAACTGTTTAGTACTATTACCTAATTTCATATCAGAAAGTGTTGCTTTAAAAAGGCATATTAGTCTATACAATCTCACAGTTCTGAGTTCAATGCAGAGTTTATCGTAGTTTAAATTCTTGTAATAGAAATGATGAAACTGCTCAATATCTAAAGATTTACAGTGTCCGTTTATCTGATTTGAATGGTAAATGGAATCTGCGACAAATTAATTAACTTTTTTTAAAGAATTAAACATAGATTTTTATGATAATGTATTCGTAATAATTACAGTATTTCGAGAAATTTGATGGTTGAGTTTGGATTGTCTCTTGTGCGATATCTCATCGTTCTTGTAGACTATACAGTCAAATAGAAGTGGTTTTTTGCTCTTTCAACTTAATCATCAACTAGTAAATGCCAGTTGATCAAGTAGTTTTAATTTTTGGAAGCTGCACTGACTGCAATATCTGGTGTAATACTAACTCAACGTTTGTTACTGCTATAGTGGTCTATCTCGGACAGATCATCTACTTTCTCAAGGACATGTGGTATGTCGGAAATCCATATATGGGCTGGCTTACTGTGAGCAAATGAAAAAGTGATCTGCCCCAAAACCACCGCCTATATATCCCTGTCTCGATCAGTTCACTTTTATATATATTTACACAAGGCTTGTGTACATATTCATTCAGCTTTAGCATTAGAGCTTTCAACACATTTTTAGTCTGATTAGACGAACATTAGCAAGCGTTTACTTTTAACTGAACCAGTGTGCTATTTCATCTTTTTTATGTGATACATACCATTTCAAATAAGAAAGATTAGTTCAGCGAAGAGTTATCTTTTCGGCAAATTCATTTTCAAAGCTGTACAATCGCAAATATATATACTTATTTTTACAGGATGATAATAAACTTCTGTTAGACATGGTGACAGTGAGGTTAAATAAACAAAGGTATTAAAAACTTTTTTTGTTTTAGAAAGCAAGGAAAGTTTAATAATCGTTTGATTGTTAATGGCTTGAGTATTCATCAAAAAATAGATAGGGAAAATTATCAATCGGAAAGGATGGCTCAACATGATAAGATAAAATGTTGAAATTGAGATTAGATGTAATCAGAATGATCGTAGAAACAAAATAAACCAGTTGTGGGTAGAGGAATTGAGGGGAAGATGGAAGATAAAGCAGATAGTTGTAAAGGAAGAAGAGTATGAGAAAGAGAAAATAAATTATAAGACATTAAGACCATGGTAGGAGAAGAGGTTGTGCCAGTCTCTTGTGCACACACAGTTCTGGTGTTTCTAGACGTATGGCTAATGCTCTGACAAAGAAGATGCAGTCTAATTGTCTTTGGAAGACTTCTACTTACCTTGTAGATGACTTTGAATACAGAGTCTGTCTTGATTAAGTGACCTGTGTTCACAAGGTGTTCGATTATTGAACTTCTTATTGAGCCGTTGCCTCCTCTTTTTAGCCACACCGGACAACATACCATTTTGTATCGTTTTTATCTAAAGTTTATTCTCTTGCTTTATTTCTTAATAATTTCAGCGTAAAATCTGCGTATGACTCGAATTCTCTGAAACGTAAATCTGATTCCTATCGTAAATCTGACTGTTTACTCACGTCATTTGATCAAGAAACAATAACACCTTTCAAACCCCCAAAGAAAAGTACAGGATTCGAGAGAATAAAAATAAATTCTACCAGTGATTTCCATAATTTAACACCGCTGGCATCATACAATGGCGGTGATCAACATATTCGTCCACGTTCCATGTTCATTCCATCATCCGGTAATGAAATTCAATCATCACAGATTTGTTTAAAAACAAAAGATGTAAATAAAAACTTAACCGACCATCATGAGAACAATCTGATTAGTTCAAAACAATCTTCTGAATCAATTCCATCAATTATTTTTATCCCATGTAAAGCGTCTGTGGATAATAAAAGTAATGATACTAATAATACCAGTAATAATGATAATGATATTAGTCTCAAAGTTAGTAATCAAACTACTCATATTAATACTGAGACAAAAACACATATCTCTGTATCTATGATGAAGAAACCTGTTCTGATTGGTGTTGAAGAAAATTCAAATAAATATTCTCCAAGTCCTAGTCCTCAAACAGTGGCCTTACGTCAAAAATTTGGTGAAACTTCTCGTGTATGTTAACATATTTTTAAGATTGCCATTTATTATTAATGAAAATACTTCCTTTAAATTGTAGTCAATATGTGTAATAAATGTATATATTCAGTTTTGGGACATTATTGTTTCAGTTTAAGTTTTCTTTTAAAATGATTCAGTAAGCCGTAATCAGTTGAGTTCACCTATGTCAGATGTGGGACAGTTACCCATCAATGACACATGGTTGTGCAATTTCACAAATTGATTGAAGTTAAACCATTAAATGTGTTGACTCAGTAGTGTAAAAGGTTAAGCTCTTACTGCGATACCTAAAGGTCCTTTGTTCAATCTCTTTAGTGAAGTTACGGATTCGCAATACTAAGGAGTCCCATACTAGGACGGAACAGTTGTCCAGTATTTTCTTGTTTTCAATGATTGCCTAACTAAAACCAATCCGTGATGCGAATGATACAATTCAACAATCTCCAAAAAGTCGTTCTATGTGGTAATAATATTTCAGTAACGTATTATTTTTAGCCAAATTAAAATTGTAAAATGGCGTTCATCCATTCATTGTACAGAATGTTGATCAGTAAAAAATCGAAGAAGTTCGACTTTTAAAATGATCTTCACAACTCCGTCTCCATAGTAATCATATCGTCTTATTCGACTAAATAGTGATTACATGAAATTCAGTCGAATAGTGTTCATCTCAACAGATAAATCGCATTACCCTGTTGAATTAAATGCAATAAATAAAGGCTTGTTCATCAGTTAATGTTGTAATTATAAACTAAAAAATTTATTTCATTGAATTATACTCTCAGGCTTACAATCATCAGTACTTATTAGGTTGTCGATTGTCTGTAGACTATCGGATGAATCGTGTTGATTAGTTCAACTGTACCCTCTTGAGTTATCTTATTGTTAAGATGTATCTTAATTTTAAATCAATTAAATCACTGGAGTAGTCTGTTAATCACATGAAAATACCTCAGATGGTTTAATAACAGATGACATTAAATACCATGAAATTTTTTATTTATTAGTTTCTATATTAGTTTACGTTAATTGTTTGATGGATAAAATTTTTATCAGCACTATGGTACAAAAATTGGTGAAATACTCAATAAATAATTCATGTAAACTGTGGATCCTTTCTAGTATCAATTTAAAGAAAAAGTATATTGACGATTATATAACTTTTATTCATTGGTAGTAAAAAAGAAAATAATTGCAAGCCAATGAATGTATTTTCATCAACTGGATATTTTGTTTCAATCTCTTAATTCTACTGACTAAGATAAATATATATCAGTAGTTGAAGTAGATATATTTATGTTGATTGTGGGATCTATCAGCGATGAGAATAAATAAAATACCGCTTAACTATTGAAACCAAATATATGTAGTCATTTTTCATATTCTCTGATAAACAGCTTTACATTGATTAATTTGTTTTAATCCGAAACCTTCATGGTTCAGAGATCTAAAATTATCATGCTGTCTACAAGATATGTATATCCGAGATTCAATATCATGTTAATACATGCTGCTAAAGTGTCAAATGAGAACAAAAACTGTCCAACTTTTTCTAGTTTTCAGCGGTTCTCTATTTGATACTAGCCCTCAGAATATCTAAGTATCATCTCTACAATCTCCTTAATCCAATTATATTTTAATCCCTAATATTGATGCATTTTTAAATATTGCGGTTTTGAAGATCAATGTAATCTATCTGTGGTAAAATACACGATTACAGCAGTTATATACATATGTGTACTTTTTACTTCGTAGGAAATAATATACATTTTTCTTCGTTTGAATGCTTTTATATAAAAACAAGTATTGAAATTACTGCTTTGATACACATCAATATAATATCTATATTTTTTTGTCTATCCATCTTTAAATCAACAAATACGTTATAATTTATATTACGATATAAATATAGCTTGTTACTCTTAAGGATGAATAAAAGTGAGTTTATTTTAATGATTGGAATTACTATCAAATAGTTTCTAAAAAAAAACCCGAATTCTTGGTGTGTTTTTCTTCTTCTATGCTACATCCACTTTTATTATATGAATGACTAAATGAATATATATGCATGGTTAATTTTATTTCTTTCCTCATTGTCTTTCAATTTATAATTAGTATATACAATATTAATTGTAAAGTGTTACCTTTTTTCATTTTATCATAAGATTAATCCATTTTTATTATATCAAATAAATTTCTCATAGTTTAGGCATAGTTACTGATTTATAAATTTTCTTAATGTATTCAATTGATAAAGTATTTGGATTTTAGTAGATAATATCCAACTAAAAAAGAAAAAAACTAACATTATTAATTATTCAATTACTTATTAGATTAATAACAGAACTTTAATTTAATTGTCCTGAAAGTAGAAAGTTAAAAGACTTCAACAATCATGACAAATTATCTGATTAAACCCTCATTAATTTGTTAAAATGTTGTTATATATATATATATATATATATATATATAGAGAGAGAGAGAGAGAGAGAGAGAGAGTTTAATTTCAAACCCACTGTTTTTATGTAGGTGGGTAAATAGAAAGAATTTTTATTATTTACAACTAATAGTAATAGTTGATAAGAAATGACATCAACAACATTATGTAATCACAAGGTCATTATTGTTTAATGTTTTTTTCTAATGATTAAGTGATCTTATCTGAATTGACTATCGAGCGATTTATCATGATTGATTTACAGATTTCAATCTAATGTTTCAATTAGTTGTTTTAATGATGGTAAATAAATTCATTAAATGAAAGGAGTTTATACTTACGTACGAAACATTACCTTATCCTCAAATGAGCAATAAGACAAATTTATTCCAGTACTCATCATTGCTAATACTGTGTAAATGTGATAAAACTTATGTTTTACTGTTCCTTTCCTAAGTTTTTACATTTTGATATCATCTTCAGTGGGAAATTATTTAATGTTTAACATTTTTCTTGTGAATTTATCAATTATTGATCTCTTTGACTTATTGCTCATATACGATTGACTAACTGGATAACTAATACTAAGGTTTTAGGCAAAAATTGTAAGTTGATTGTAACCATTCGTTCTCGTAAGTGGCTGGTATAAGTGTTACAGATGCCCGCCTATCAATTACCCTAACATGCATCATTGTCTAGTATAGGCGTAAGCTTGAAAAGCGTTTGGTTCGCTCAAATCGAGATATGATTATCAATTCATAAAATCATTGAATGAGCCGTATCGGAAATTGTACATACTTTCTGGTTGGATTCTACTTGATAACCTTGACTTAAGATTAAATAAAAAAGTGGCATAACTCGAAATTTTGCACAGTGGTGCAGATATATTTTTCCTCTAGCTTCGCTAAATTGTGACCACGTTCTTGGCTTCTAGCTTTTCACTATTATTAATTTGACTCATTTGACTTTCACCTTATTGATTTTCCTTACGCTTTTCTGATGCAAAGTGATGCAATATAATCTGACTGACATTCATTCCAGCCCCCATGTTGTTTGTAACTATTTATTTATTTAAATAAAGACATTGGTTTAAGGTGGCATCAAATACATATACACCACACAAACCATCCGATTTGCGTGAGGGCTGGAATACTGCTTGGGTGCCCAAATCGAAACAGGTGGTTTCCTTAGGGGTCACCTCCCGAGTAGATCCTACTTACATTAATTTCTTTAATTTAGTCATAAGATATACGAAGAAATTATTTATTGTATATTTAATTATAGAAAAATACAATTAACATATTATTTGTTCAAATCTAATAAAAAGATGTAACAAAGTGATTTATTCACGATGCTGTACACAAAACTAGTTTCTTTTTCCCCAACTAAATTAGAAACCAAAAATCGTTACCCTTAAGATTTACTCTGGTATTCACTTGGTTTTTATTGTGTCACTTGTGTAACGAAATACAACGTTCCGTCGATGTATATATATATATATATATATATAATACACATAGTGGATAAATAGTCCGTATATTGTAAGTAGAGATGGACGGTGGTCAGCAGCGGAGTCCAGGATACGCGTTTCGTTCCATTAGAGGTTCGTCAGCTGAATGAACCTCCGTTCCATAGTTGACGTTCACTCCGGGATTCAAACCCAGTTCCGTTCGTTTGAAACTTCGTTGCGTTCTCTACATAGCTAGGACGAAACGCGCTTCCTTGATTATACTGCTAGTCACCATCTATCCCTGCTTATAATGCTCGTGAGTTAATGGTAATGTAGAGGCAATCCGCACAGAGTGCACATATACCAATAAGAGACTGATTAATTGCAGCCCTAAACATCAATGCAAAGATTCAAACCACCAATGTAAATGAAGTTGCATATTATGTTTACAATAACCGAAAACAGTTGGAAAACGAGATAATACACATCCTTGTCATTGTCTCTGTTGTTGGTATGGTCACTTGGGGTGTTACATATTTGTGTTAAAATCTACTCTGATTATGTCTGACTGACTAAGTACCCAATTCATAAAGAGAATATTTATAATTATCCTCAATAGAGATAATTATGAGTATAGCATAACAAGAAGGAGTTATTCATCTTAACACCCTAAATCATGGAAACATATTTACTGACCAATCTTTACAGCAGTATTTCATATTGAGTTGTAATGGATAAGAAATTATTTTTTTTAAAAAAAGAACTTCTCTATATTTGTAACTGATTTCAAAAGAAATATACGCCCCGTTTTTTTGCAAAAAAAGAATTACTAAACTCTTCTCATTGACTCAACATGTCTTTTTTCATTCATTATACATAAACTTTAGTCCACGTGTATGGTGGTGGTCTATTGTGTAATCAGTTGTATCACATGATGTATGTCAATATATGTACAAATTGTGTACTACACATATACACACATGCACAAAAAATATATAATTTCGTATTACAGGTATGTGGTAATGTTAATTAAGAGTTGTAGGTTACATAGATTTGTAAAAATGATCAAATTCCAATTTACCAATTAGCATAATGATGCAGTTAACTAGAACTATATAGTTTACATGGAATTTGTGAATTAACATGCACACGTATAAGTGAGCTATCTTATTACAATACTTGTAATTTGATAGTAATTTTATCATAAAAAACAAATGCAAACATACCTAAAATTTCTAGAAAATCCTTGAAAGTACGCCGCAGTTTTGGTATAGTTAGTCTAAGTTTATTAAATTATAAGATGAATCATATAAATGAAACAGAGTTAAAGTGAGCTGTTTTGTTATTGAATGTTAATCTTTTCTTTTGTAAATGAGTAGAGTATTGATGAGAAAAACGCCTATAGCTCTTCTAGGGCTACTGCCGGTCCCAAGTCGAGGTAAAGTTGAAGTGTTTGGCGTAAGATCGGCAACCCCATCCTGTAGAAAACGACCTTGTTAAAAAAACACTAACCACAATAAACATACTAAACCATTTAAACTCTGCCCTCCGAGTTTAAGGAAGAATTATGACGCCTCATTATGAAAGCCAAGATTCTTCGGAAGTCACGAGGATTTTGTCTCTTTTAGCAACCAGAGCAACAATTTTTATAGGTACATTGAATGTTCGGACAATGCGGCAGACCGGGAGGACCAGTCAAATAGCTGCGGAAATGAGGAGATACAACTTGGCAGGGCTCGGGATCAGCTAGATCCGTTGGACCCAAGCTGGATCGCAAAGGTTAGAGACGGGAGAGATGTTGCTGATGTTGACGATCAAATCCTTCTCTCACTCCTTAATAACTCTTCTATCCCCACGATTAACCTTTCTCGTATATCTTTGTCACCACACGCCACAGCTGCTAATTTAATTCTACGAAATGTTATTCTTAGTCTTCTGAAACCACGCTGTAAACTAAATGTTGGAGCTTTCAATGTTCAAAACTTGTCAGATAGGACAAGCTTTTTAGCTAGGATTCTAGAATTTCGTGCCATCGATATATGTCGCGTCTCCGAAACGCTCATGCACGATCCAGGTATGGTCGTTCATTTGACCTCGTCAATATAAAGAACCGGCATGAGTTATCCTTCGAGTATATGTAACTCCCACTACTACTCCCCGTGGCCTTGCTGGCGTAGCTGTAGCGTTAAATTCAAAAAACAGAACAGGATCTGTTAGACCAAACTCTAATGGACAGTCGCTTGTGCTCTGTTTGACTAAACGAGACAGTAAGAACTTGGGAAAATAGGGAAAAATCCTATTTCCCTTTCGTTGTCTCTCCCTACACTCCGATTAATTGAAACTCGTACGAAGTTAAAGACGGATTTTTGGGGAAGCTATCCAACCTTCAAAAAGCTAAACATTGGTGTAGTAATAGTAGCAGGTGATTTTAATGCTCATGTAGGTAGACTAAACCAAATTGAAAGACACTTCGGCAGATCTTACGGTGTTAGGACTCAGCGAACAGATAATAGCGGATGTCTATTGCAACAGTGCTCAGATAACCGTCTATTTCTAGCAAATACTAACTTTAAACATAATGAGAAACATTGTCAAACGTGGTGATTCCGACAACCGACCCATCGATGAACTCAAATAGACCACATTGCCATCAACCATCGTTGAATCGTTTCTATAGAAGACTCACTCATTCTGAAGCACATGTTGATAAGGTAGTAAGTCTTCAACTGAGGTAGTTAGTACGTGTGTTACGTATGCGCAACCACCGGTTACCTCGACGGGTGGTGTTTGATGTAGAAGCAGGCTAGAAGAAAGGTAAAGGCGTCCGAATAAAAATATGTCATCAGTCCATGAAGTCAATGGCAGCCCTGTTAATAGGTGTAGACTACCTGGTTGGGATCCGCATGATTATCGTAATCAATAGTTAGAGACTTTGGATGATATGGCTCAAAGTTATTTGCAATCGCGTAGGTGCATCCGTTCTTTGTCACCTCCCAAATCCTGAGATTCTAAATTCCTCACAGTATTTTTAATCTCACTAATTTATATTTTCTTGAATTGTCTCTTCGATCCCTAATCTTTTCTGTTAACACTGATACTGTTATTACCTTTACCATTCTGGGATCTGGCCTGACGATTTAATCTATATGTGGTAATAGGATATGGCAGCTTAAATCGATGTACATACGTACTAGGTTCTACGTTGTGACTGGCTGACTAATTGGTTAATGTACGAAATGAAATTATAGCACCTTATGATAATTAACTTAGCATACATTCATTACTTTGTGTTTGTTATTTTTGCAGTTTAACTTCACTTCATCTTTAAGTAAATTATCTTTTGGTTTGCGCAACACACGGATTCTAAACTATTGAAGTATAGACTGAAGTTACCTCATTT